TAAAGGCATTCTATTCTATTCTATTCCAACTAGAATCCGTTACTTAGCCTTATCCATTATGCATCCGTGGTAGATCCAGTCCATGGTAATGAGCTAAAACTAGCTATTTAACCCATAAACTTATCAGGAAAGTGTTCATGGAGGCCACAGAGCATGGGAGCAAGGATTTCTCCAACAGATGTTTATTACAACCAGAAGTCTTTTTGGAACCAGTGGAGTCGCTCCCTAATGGTCATTGAACAAGATCTGCTCTTCCATGTTAGCTTTGTGTTTGCGACCCAAAAGTGCTGTTCATCGTTTAAACTGTCCAGGATTTCCTTACCTGTTTTGTTTTCAATGCTATTTTGTTTTCCTGTGAGATTTTTCTGGCTCCACACAGGTTTTTGGCCCTAAAACCGATGCATTCTCCTGTCTGTATTTTACCCACTACCAACACTTCAGCTGTGTATTTGTAAGTTTATTGGCTAAATCCTCCACTGTGTTCAACCAACTAGTTCTAAACATAGCCTACCTGATAATGGTTAGCAGAACAGTGGGTTTTTCTAAAAACAGCTCCTGATGGAGATTTTGCTGAGGAGATTGAAGCATAGCAGTAAAGTTAGAAGCAGTAAAATCAAAACAAATGGCTGAAAAATGCTATGACTCCAAACAAAATGATACAGTAAGCAATTTCTTCCCCCTAGAATAAAACATATTGAATCATTAGGTGGACGACCTCATCTGTTTGATTGTTTTGATCATGTAAGACAACAATCTGGATTCCTGATCTAGGTTTTCTTCTTGAAGACACAATAAATTCACACAGTAGCCACTGTCTAGCTTGTTCTTGGCAATCAGGTACAATTAAAAAGCCATCTGTCCTGGTTAAACAACTCTTCACTGACTAATCACTTGTCAGATAAGGGGGAGGGGAGGATTATGTAACAAATGAATAAAAATGCCCATAATCTGCTGGCTATGGCAACTGTGTGTTTAACTGCTGTCAGCAGCAGAGCATTAGTTTCCTCTAACAATTTGTTTGGTTCTTCTGTGTCTCTGATTCACCAAGTGAGTGCTGGATAACAGTTCTCCTGTGTTCTAAGCTTCACCTTCTGCTTAAAAACCCAAAGTCAATTGCTGCTTTTCTCTTGTGGCATTCTGCCATAAGCTCCAAGCACTCTTGATTAAAAGGGGAGCACTATTGATTTTCTTTTTTTCAGTTTTTCAGGCAGTTGCCAGAGCCCAGATGACTATATAGTCTGGGGAAAGAAAAAAAAACTGGCTGAATTTCCCGAGGTTATACAGCAAGGGCACCAATTTTCTGAGAGTGCAATATCAAGCTTGCATTGCTTATTATTGCGATTAAATGCGATATTTGTTTAATTCTACTATCAAGTTGGATTTGATAGATTTATGTAGGCATTTGTTTTTAATCCCTATCACTAATGAAGTTGAAAATTGTGTGAGTCTTAACACTGATGACCTTTTATACCTAAAGTAAAGTTACACACACTTGGATATTAGTCATATTTGCTAAAAAGCAAAAAACTACAACTGTTTGATGGTCCTAAGCAAAATTTTCCTGCTGCTTTCTGAACAGTAAAGTTGTTAAATAAAACCAAATACCGTTCTGTTAAAAGAAGTCCAAATGCAAACAAAACAAAAAAAAATTGAGTGAAACTGCCAATAACAAAAACTATAATCCACCAAATGTGTTTATCACATCTGAATTTCACAAACTTGACAAAACAAAGAAATGTGTTCTTTCCACAGTACTACATTCATGTAGACTTCCAGTATAGAAAAGCTAAGCATACAGTATTTATCATTTTTTTTCATTTCACATATAGTTTTTTTTAACTATATGTTTAAATGTATTTATAGTTGGAACAGCTACAACAGCTAATGTTTCACTTTAGGACTGGCGTTTTTCATTAAAGATGATTTTAGCATTTTTTGGCTCTCTAATGCTAGTCAGCGGCTAAATTCCACCACTAAATGAAACGTGCATTCAGTCTTGTTAGCATTATCTTTAGCTTCAGTTTCACAGCTGCTCACTTCCGGCCTACCCAGCCTTCGCAGTGTTGCCAACTCCTCAGTAAGTAAAACCGCTATTGGCTGTCCTAAAAGTCGCTAGAATTCGCTAAATGCATAATTATTTGCATAATTGGTCATGCTAATGTAATTGTAACCTCGGTTGTAGGTTTATGTCTCATTGTGGAAGAGACATAAAGTGAGTTAAAAACGTCCTAAATGCATTTAGAATTTATTTAGAACAACAAATTAACTTTCTTTTAACAATTATTGTTTTTTTAATGTCACAATTCCAACCCTACTCCTTTATCCAGGTTTGGACTGGCAAAAGTGTCCCGAAATAGGCACTCTGATAGAGTTACTTTGTGTGTGTGTGTGTGTGTGTTTATAAGTAGTTTTAACCCTTGTGATCCACAAAACAACATAACAACAAAAGAAGAACTGACTGCGCTACAGTCAGTGCGGGAGCTCCGGCTTCGCTCATGCGCGATTCATTTGCAGTTTGGACGCATAGATGTGAACATCTGCTGCCCTGATAGCAGCTGAGGGAGGACTATCCTCCGCCCGTGAGCGCTTTGGCACGGGCGAGGTGCCCATGGCAGCACCTGCTGCTTGTTGAGAGTAAGAGCGATACGCGCTTTCCTGTCAAAAAGTCGTCATAAATGAGTCTCCCATAACACCAGAAAAAGTCACCAGATTTGTCGCTAGTCGCTTTTTAGAAAAAAGTTGCTGAGGGGGTCTGAAAACTTGCTAAATATATCGACAAAGTCGCTAAGAAGGCAACACTGGGCCTTCGGAGGACCCGGTCCACGTAGACCGCGGAGACCGGGTCCTCAGGAGGATGCAGCCTATGAATTTGGACACACCATTACCAAAGACATTGTGTGAGACACCAGTAGTTATTCTAAAACTGCACTACTTTAAACCCCAGAAACAACAATAGCATGTTCTGTAAGGACTTTTGCTACAGTGTGGAGTTAGCGAAACCTCCTCTGTTATCTTACTCTTTAGCTCGTTAGCTAACAATGCTGTAGCCTTTTAGCTCACGTGAAATGAGGCCACATTTGAAGCTTGTGTGTATGTTTGTTACTTCTCAGGGTGTAAAAAGATTTCCTCGATGGTTTAAAAAAAAACTAGAGGGTCTCATCTGACTCCAGATCACAAGTTGCCTGGTCATGTGGCGAGTCTCATGGCTGGATCATCCCAAAATGCCTTCTCTTTCTCTCTCCTTGCGCCGTCTGTGCATGTTGTCTCATTGAGAGCAGGAGGTCTTCATTATCCAGGCTGGACACATGATCTTTCTGCTGAATCTCTGAGGCGCGCCAATATCTGTATCGTGTT